ACACACCGCCCTGATCGAAAAAGCCTATCGTTTTGTACTCCTACCGCTACTCGTAAATGATGGTTACGGTCATTTCCGTTCTTGAAAGTTCATTGGAAAACTCCTTAGAATCCTCTAACTGCTTGAAACCGGTTCACTTGACTTTTTGTAGATAACTGGAGTTCTGCTCAAAGTCGCATTCTTGCAAAAATTCTTGTGTGAATGGTTGGGAAAGAACTAACCACCTGTCAGTGAGACTTGGGAACTGAAGCTGCTGAAAGCAGTGAGCGTATTCTCTCTAACGGGGTAGTTTGTGAAGGAGGCAGTAAAGAGCCTATAAATACATCAGGCACCAGAAGCTTGAATTCTTTGTTTGTTCCACCCCCTAATGGACGTGTTAACGTTGCAATTAAAGTTTACGATTAATCATCTAACAGTAAGAAACATGTAATATGGCTGACCATGAGGTGATGTTAACGAGTGAAAACCTGTCGAACACCCTGTTCATCTCGTCCGTGTCACGAACCTACTGAAGGTTTTCGATTTCGTGAGGAGAACACCGTATTCGTGCTCTGGCAGTCTCCTACTTTTCCTTTCCTTCCTACTTCCGTTTTTGCCTTATAGCCCTTGAATGTAAGGCATACCGCAGTAGAGAGCAGTCGGGCAGCCTGGAGGATGAGAGCGCATTTCAATCTTTTCCATTTAATCCCTCTAATTTTCCTTTACGGCTTCTCCTTCTTACTGGCTAGCTTGATAGCATGAACGATAGGTTCCCACCCTTTTTCGAGGATATTCTGTGGGATCTGTTTTTTCAAACTGCGATTTTCATAGCCTCCATATAGTTTTACATGACCATCTTCAGGTCCAGAGTTAGCAGACACTCCAAGTTATCATGACCATCACCAGGTTCTTGACCGCTCACTGAATAGGTCATGTTCTGGTAAGACTGGACCACCACAGTGGGTCCCAAAGGTTAGGTACAAGATGGAATACAGTAATAGTAACTGGGTAGCGAAGAAGATTTTTAAGTCACTCCAAATCTACTGCCACTTACGGTAGTTTCAAGTCCGTGTAGTGCCATTCACCGGTTATGCTGCTCCACATTTACAACCATGTCAAAAACCCATGAATTTCGAATGAAACAAATCAGCATGTAGTAGAGTGGAACCTACTACGTAGTAGGCTCATTACAGGAGTAGAACTGGATCGAATAAAAGCAGTCAAATCGACGGAGTCTTTTGGTAGCACACCCAACTTTTCGGTCAAATCGTAATGTTACCAAATCCTCAAACCTCTGATTTCACACTCAAAAAGGGATTTTGTAAGTGACTGCCGTAAACCCTTTTCAGCAATCCCCAATAGATAGCACGTAACGCCATGTCCATGTCGTAACAGTGTAGATGTTCTACGGGGGGGAAGGGGCTCTTTACGGGTAGGTGTTAGACGCTCGAGTTTGGGAACTTCAGATTAACATGAACAGTGAAGTTTCGATTGATTCATTGGACGAGTTAGCTTGGCAGTTAAAACAACTGCACTTTTACCAAGATCCTGTTCTGTTCCAAGATTCGAATTGTAAAATTTTGATTGATTGGGGAGCTGCTCTTTGTTTGCTATCCTTCCTATGGGAAAGAACGATCTGGAAGCATAACTGAACAGCCAGCCAGTTGCTCCCTATGTAAAAAGGATTTTATTAGGAGCTCACTGAAAACTTCTTGTTCTGAATGATCTCGGGAAGGTTTCGAACTTGCCATGAGCCGAAACAAATAGAATACCAGTATGGTTCTCACGCTCGAGGAGAGGCTTCGGTTCAGGGACCTTTCATAAATTTCAGTCAACCTCTCGGGATCAACACCTTACTTTGTCGATCGGAAAGTTGATTGAGCAACATTTGTGATGTCCAGGATCCTATAAAGACGAAAACAAGAACGAACTAATTATGTTCCATTCAAGGCCTGAAGCTGCTCTTATCCGACTTACGTTGCTCGGGCGTCTCATGTCTGGAAAGGTACCAGAGGTCGAAAGGTTCCGGGAAGTTCTGAACTAAGGGCGGTTTGACAGAGCAAACAGTAAAACTATCAAGCCATGCAGAATTTGGAGAGACAGTTCNCCCCCCCCCCCCCCCCTGAATTTCAGGAGGTTCTGGGGCATGAAAAAGCGAGCCCGTTCAATGCTATGCGCAGAAAAGTGTGTTCTCATTGCTAAATGAAGGGTGCACGGTTGGCTTGCCAGATAATCCGAAATGTTGTCCTCAAAATGGCAATCATCACCGATTCCATGACCTTTTTCATTGGAAAACCTGTTCGAAACTTTTTTAAATGGAGCTGTTCCCAGATGATATACGTTGCTACAACCGTCCTTCCTCTCATTCTGTTTCTCAGCAGTTCCTATCGTTCACACTACATATTCCATTCATTAATGCCTTTTCGATTTAGTTAGAATGCATTTCTGTCGAATTGGCAATTTGACTAAAGCATCGCCCTTTTGCCATATATTCCTTTAAATTGACCTGAGCGCGGTACCAGCCTGGTTAAGCTCTTCACAAGGCTGACCGATGACCTCCATTGACCGACATTTTGAAGGGTTTTCGGGATCTCGAGAGAAAGTAAATCATTACTAGCCAGCCAAACATCTCATCGTCGTTTAGCATCGAAATCGAATTGCGATGGAGACACGTAACTGAGAATCTGCCACTCCCTACAAATCAGATGCGATCCTGTCTATTCGGCAGCCACCAGCGAGACCTCTACAGTTATCTTTCACGGTCTATTTAATAGGAACGAGGGCAGATGGGTGTTTTGTCCACACTGAACATGCAATTGGAGGAAGTCGAGTTATCACGGGAGAACCTTGAGGTCATGGCTCCCTTCACAAAAATCTGAGAAAGGTTATAGGAGCGCATTTTACAGTATAGGAAGCGCAGCAAGAGAGATATCGCTGTCTGTTGTAAACCAGCTCGCTCTTCCTATAGAATCCAAGCTGTTGTCGAAAAGATGTTCCGAATGGATGCAAAAGTTTCTAACTAGAAAACATCAACGACATCGGTATGACGTCCTTGACCATCTGTAAAGCCTGGCAGATGGCAGTAAATTTATATCATCTGATGCCAACCACCACGTAGAGCTGTCTTTTCATTGAAAAACTCATTCCCACTGCCACGGACGACATTCCTGAAGGCCACCCTGCAGATAAGTTGAGATAGTGCAGTTAATCTTCCCGGCAGCTTAGCAGAACGCCGCAGGGTTAGTGGGATTGATCGTTAGCCTGACTCTGTAACAGGCGAAGCACCGAATCAAAGGCTAGCTTAACTGAATATATTAGGTGCGTGCATTAATTTCCGCCGTTTTTCGCGTGCAAAAACATACTTATTACAAAATCAAAACTAAATGTACATTAACCAATGTATTGCCCATCGTTAGCTACAACTTCTTGCCATCTTTCTGGTACCTTGTTGACTCCGAGTCTAAAAAAGCCTTAATCTTTTGAGGCAATCCTGTTATCCACCCATTTTCGCACTTCCTCGGCGTTCCGGAAGCGTATATCTGCCAAATTGACTTGCATGGACCG